CCCCCTTCAGCCGCCATGAAGCATTTATGAACCGGCATCTCCCTCCTCTGCTCTCTATTCCACTCACAACTACCTCTTCTCTCGTTCTTTTAGTATCGCAAACACTCCCCCCTTCTTTCCCACGTCCTCTCCTTCTGTCTCCCTCTTATACTCTTCCTGTTACACACACAAACATCAGCATCTTGATAGATTTTTCTCTTCTTCACTTGGAGTTTGTGTGTTTTTGAGTGTCCCTCCTCAACAGCAGACGCTCAGTGTATCTCCCAGTTCTGAGCCTCTCTCGGCCTTCAGGTAAATGTTTGTGCTGCGAGAAAAAAACAGACACATGCACACAGATTGATGGAAAGAGCTTATTCATGGCAGTCTGAACAACCCTTTTTTTTAGTACTCAAGGTTGTCGTACATATCTCTCTAAATAAAAAAGCACGCACGCTGACACAGACTGAAAATAATATGCAAGCTCTTATTGGCTTGCAGTGTGTGTGAGCTGCAAGTGTGCTGACTCTTAAACAGGTGGGACTGGAACACTGAAGGGAAAGTGTTTGTGTGTGTGTGGGTTTAAGTGTGTGTGTGTGTGTGTGTGTGTGTGTGTGTGTGTGTGTGTGTGTGTGTGTGTGTGTGTGTGTGTGTGTGTGTGTGTGTGTGTGTGTGTGTGTGTGTGTGTGTGTGTGTGTGTGTGTGTGTGTGTGTGTGTGTGTGTGTGAGGTCCACTCCACTGCTCTTTGATCCTCGTCTTGACAGCCCACCACCTGGGACGATCCGTCACACGGTGCATGGCTCCGGGGCCCGGCTACACCGCGGGAATCACAACACACAGCGGCTAACGCAGCGCTAACAGCTAACCTCCCCCACATTATACACTGTCAGGATCGCTAATGCTAACGCTGAAAGCTAACCCTCCCATGAACAGATATGGCACAAATGCTTCTGGAATCATAATTCACAGGGCGTAGCTAGAAGCTAAGACTAATACAGGACTATTGGAAATGCTAATCGCACACAAGGGGCCTAACACAGTTGCAACTTGAATTATAATTTGACTAAAGAAAGACCCACTTTATGTGTTTAGAGCTACACAATTAATGGAAATGTTATTGAAATTACAATATACAAACTAGTCCAATATTCCAACCACAGGAAGCACAATATTATTCGAACCGCAGGAAGCTCTTGCTAAAGGCTAAATATATGTTAAATGGTAGATGGACTGTACTTATATAGCGCTTTATCAGATATTTTCGACCCCTCAAAGCGCTTTACATACTACGACCCATTCTCACCTCCTTCACGCAGCAGTAACACTTGCTCTAGGGAAGATAACATTCATACACATTCACACATCGTTGGCCATTGGGAGAGACTCAGGGTTAAGTATCTTGCCCAAGGATACATCGACATGTTGACTTCACTAACTGGCATCGAACCGACAGCCTTCAACAACAGTCGCCCTGAATGTTTGAAGTAATATGGAGCTGCAGAGACATCCCGGCCTGCAAGACACATTCTAATGACCTGATGAACAAAATATATATATTTTCTTCTTATGATCTTCTTAAAAAGTAATCGCATGATATGTTTTTCAATGATAATGATAACAAATGATCAATCCCTCCAATATCTTGAATTATATTGCAATAGCAGTGTGGGCCTTACACATGGTACACCTGCACACTCTCACTGTTCTTACTCACCTCTCTGACAACTTCGTCACTCTCTTCTCAGTTTGGTTTCACCTGTTAGGAAGTAACAGCTTGCAGTTTTACAGTACGGTCGTTATTAACTATGCTCCATTCAGCCGTGCCACTTGTTATGTAGGGAAAGCTGCTTAAATGGAGTGCAGGCAGCATATTAAGTGGCAGGTAGGACGTTTTATTTCCATGCACAGATAATTAAACATTAAAAGGTAGTAGAGATCAACTTTAGCAAAACTTTTGGGCATTAGCAGAGACAGTTTAGTACTGTTTGCATTTGGACTAAGCCCAGAAAAAGGAGCACCTATTAGTTCCTGGAAATGTAACATAACCTAGCATAAATTAGAACTAAAATATGTTTTTCGAGTACTTTGAAAATGTTTATCTTGCGTTTTCGTACATTTATTTTAATACTTCTCTTCTACAATATTAAAAAAAAGAGGTATCTGTATCTGACAGCTGGAGCTCCTTGGTAATTTGCAGTTAAACATTTCACATTTAATTGAATACATTTTGAATATGTATGTTGTTGGGAAACAATGTTTGTTTCATTCAATCACAAAACATCATTCAGATTATTGTAAAAATGAAATAGGTTAGGGAATTAGTAATGTATTCCAATATGAAAATATAAAGGTAACGTTTCAGATTTTAGTTTTGAGCATTTTCATTTAAACTGATTTTAATAATTTGAAAAAAGGGGCCATTCCTCAGGGGCCCCCCAAGTTCTTTCAACTGTTTTTTTTTTTAAATATTCTTTTAGTATTGCTTTAACTTGTAACTTGACTTTAAGATTCAAGAATTTCCATACCTCAGTTCCTCAACCTTATCTTTAGTGAGTCCAGTCATAATTACGCAGACCAAAGATGAAGCAGAGCTGCCAGAGATCTACACTTTTGGACACGAATTTTCATTTTTGGGTGTAAAAGCCATATAAGTTTGGTGACCTACATGGAATAAATTGTATACACATTCGCCCAGTGATAGTCAGCCAGTCGTAACTTATTTCCCCTCTTATCTCCTTGCCTTTAACTAGGAGAAGCTGGTGTGAAAGTCTCGCTTGGTAAATTAATACTGATAGTAGGAGTGGGGGGCTTAGGGTTTAGTGAAGTGACACCCTGCCTTTTACGCTGGGGGTCATAGAGGAAAAACACTAAGCTGGGAGTTATCCCGCTAATACACAGGCACTGCAGCTTCTGAATCACAACTCCAATCACGCTGCTGACGCTAGGCGAAGGGCCAACTCTTCAACAGCCGTGGCACCCAGAGGACACCCCAGGAATTCCGATCCATTACGCCCCCAGCCCCATCAAAGGGACGCTGGGATTCGGGATGCCAAATCCGCACCAGATGCTCACTGTTGGATTTCACTAAGATGCACTGCAGGGCGAGTGTCAGAGGGGCCGATGTCTGCGATGTGGGCAGCGAATCCCACGCCAGTACGCCTCATTCACACTGTGTTTATTTGTCCCATGAACACAATGGAGAGGGAAACAAAGCAAAAATAATGTCGCACTTGGCTCAACTCTGGATAAATAAATACAAACCCAAATGGAGAAATTATCCGAAGTTGGAGGCAGGAGGTCCAAAACAAATGTTCCAGTGGATCACCTGTAGATTAACCTAGCTCACCAGGTTAACAAAAACTGATTATGGTGGTTAAAAGCAATGTGTTCCAGGTCCTCTTCAGAAGAGAGTAACTGTTGTAGATTTCCCTATTTTTTTTGTGGCATTTTTACAATTAACCAACCAACTTTGGAAGCACATTCTGACATCAATGTGCATGTAAAACAGGTTTTATTTCCGGTAAATAGAGGCAAATATACCTATCTATGTTGCCTTTTAGTTGTTAGCATGTTCATAAAGCCGTGGTTATTGGGTTTCCCCCACGAGTTTACAAGTAGGTTGAAGACCTTCCAGTTCTGCCACGTTCTGTAAGAATGTGTAAATGTAGTGCCTTAGTCACTTCAATGTGTAACTCAATTCAAGAGACTTTATCAAAAATGCTTGCCTACATTATGTGTATATGTTCAAATACATGTATGGGCTGATAGAAATTGGTATTGGCCTCCAAAGACTGATGTTAGTAAAACTCTTGTTTCACATGCCTCTGCAGAATGAGGCAGCCTTACAGTCAGAGATAGATGCTTTGCTTAAGGTCGTGCCATCACTTAAAACCCAGCTTTCCATTGTTCCTGATGATGCATGGTGAATCTCAGGGCTTCCTATTTGTTCTTCCAGTGAATCCTCAATATGTTATAGTTGGCTCAAACCTCATCCTTCCTCTGCAGTGCTGGGTTAGGATTCCCCTCTGGCTTTTAGAAAAAGAATGTCAAAAGTGTCAAGAGGACATAAATACAGAGTCCATACTGTGACTTTTACAATGTTTCCAACCGCTGCTTTTTATGTGAGGGGAAATAGAAAAATCACACCTCTGTGTCTGGCCTAAATATCCCCCCCCCCCCCCTCCGCTGGTTTTTGCCTGACTGTGCAGGTTTGCGTGCTGGCCCAGAATGACCCGCAGCCGTGGAGTTTCAGCCCCACTCTGCAGGGATTACACACAGATTAAAGAAGAGGCAAATCCCTCTCTCTCTTTCCCCGTTTTATTCCTTCACTGTGTATGTGTGTGCATTCCCACTGTAGCCTGCTGTGTGTGAGTGAGTAAGCAACTTAGTCAGCTTTTGCTTGGTAATTTTCTGGTTCACAGGCAAGGTTAAACCGGGCGAAATTGTAAAGAAAAATGTGTTTTTTTTACATCCTGACTATCAGACTCATGAAATATATTTATATAAATAATATGAGGTGCTGCTGACTCAACATTCTTATTTTCCTTAACGTTTTACCTTCTTCTTCAAGTCGTTCACCTGCAATTAATTCAATCAGTGTAAGTTGCTTAGAAGTAAGTCTTTAAATTAGCCAGGCTCTCGTGGGTGTGAACTAGTTAGCTGGGAGAGTGTGAGCACTAAATAAGTGAATAAATACTTTCTTCAGTGAATGAGCGCAACTATTCACAGATTACTGGAGGATTAATGAAGAGGCAGCACTTCCTCTTCCTCTGTGTATTTGTATTGTTCGTGTGTGTGCGTATGTGTTGCTCTGTGCGCACACTTCCTCGAGGCTCAAGTCATCAGCGTTGAAACAAATCCAAAAGCTCTCTCCCTCCCTCTCCGCGAGGATGTGTCGCCCTTATCATTCACTCGGCGTCTGCCAGTGTCGACAGGTGATGCCAAGCAGATGAATAGAGAAAATGCTCTTTGTTGCTCCTTATGCTCACCCCCCTTCTCTCTTTTTTTCTCTCTCTCTCCCCAGGCTGCTGTTTTGTCACGTTTTACACAAGGAAAGCTGCCCTTGAAGCCCAGAATGCACTGCATAACATAAAGACCTTAACAGGGGTGAGTGTTTGTCCTGGATTCTCCTCTGCCGACTTTTTCCTCTAATCACACACTTACAGCAGCACCCTGAGGCGGCCCCACCCCTGCACAACCTGTGTGTGTTTGTGCGTGTGTGTGTGTGTGTGTGTGTGAGAGAATACACTGGTATGAGCATCAGTGTCTTGCAGTGCATTTGCAAGCGAGTGAGTAAGTGAATACAAGCGTGTGAGCAGGTGAGCTACTGGCTGCAGGTGTGAGTTTGTCAAACAATTTAGCCCATGATAAGGGTTTTTTAAGTTGAAGGATGGAGGAATTCCTTTTAGCTGCTTCACTTCTAGGTTTCTGATATTGTCGTGTTGGCTCACTCTCGCAGTTTCCTGGCTTACTGGGATACTAAAACTGAGCCTTAAAGTGAAAACACTCTAGTATGTTCTTTTTCATTTCAAACCTTTATTTAGACAGATAAATCCCATTGAGATCATTGATCTCTTTTTCAAGGGAGACCTGCTCAAGTAGTTCCACATGAAACATAAAAACATAAATAGAACAACAAAAGGACATCATACAGCATCATTTACATAATTATCTACATAAACAGGTACCAATAGCTTCCGATTGACTAGCATCCAACCGAGCTTTAAAAACATTTAGTGGCACCAGATTGTTCTGTGTCCTTAGTTAATTTGTCAAACAAAGCGCAAATAATTAAAAAGATTAATGTGCCTGCTTCAGTCATAGTCTCCATATATTGTACATGATGACTACAACTCGTCAAATATTTAGTATCAGTACTGTTATTGTATAGTAGCCCTTTTTAATTTCACGGATGGGGTCAGACAGTAGGACGAATCTCTGAAAAACATTAGTTTAGGAAACATATCTTTACAATAATATCTTTAGAACATGTTTTCCAAATGTGTTTTTTGGAACCACCCATCCATCCCAACCTGATTTGGTTTACAAATTGAGTGCACTAAGTACAGTGCACGTCTCTTAATGTATGACTGTGAACAGTGCGTGAGATCAGCCTGTGAAAGGACCTGAATTAACGCCAGCTAGCTTCAAATGGTATCATTGAGACCCTGCTCTACAGCACAATTAGAGTTTATAAGCACTTTAAGAATTGTGTGTTTGTGTGCGTGCTAATCTGGAAACGTGCACACGAGCTTGCCTCCAAAGCCAGGTGTTGATGCTGTGGCATTGCCTTTCTTTCATGCTGTCTGCTCTTCTATTGTTGCCCAGGAGAGCAATATAGGAAGTGTTTGCTCGTGCTTTCTCTCTCTTAGCCCTGGGTGGATATTTAGAGGCCCCTTAGATCCCCTCTGCTATGGCTATTGGCTGCTTCCCCGCCTCTCCTCTTGGCTGCGCCGGCTAACTGGAATCTCATCAGTTGAGCGCCTTTGCTTCTGTGGGTTGGATCAGCGGATAGCCCTCCTGGGCAGGACAGGGTGGATACTGTGAATCCCAAAAGAGCCGTACGCAGGATTTGTGCTCGGGTTCCTGATTTTCCGAGTTCAAACGTGTTGTTTTTGCACAGAGTCACCGTGTTAATTGCTGGTGGAAGAAGAATGTGGTTTGTGTTCCTGTGCCGTGAGAGTTAGTCACTTATCCCTTGTTGGAGGTGTGAAGCAGCCCTGGGGAGGACACATACTGCAGCACTTTCAGGATTATAGGAACATGAAATCGCCTTCGTCTCCACCATAAAACCCTTCCTCCCTCTGCTCCGTCTGGTCATCACTCCTACTCACTAGCTTCTCTCCTGCGGCATCTCTATCTGGTTCTTATTTGTGGGGCTCTTTCTTTGTCTGGTACTAGCACATCTTAGTTTAGTTAATTTTTTTTTCTTTTTTCGAGCGTGTAAAACCAAAGAAAATACAAATGAAACAAAAGATGATACAGACATGATACATTACAAATTAATGCAATAACAAAACGAAATATTTAATTAATAATTGAATAATAGTATCATTGTCTGATATCAATAAACAACAAAGCTTTAGCTAATTACACGTCCGAAAAGGGGTCGGAAGAAGTTTACACTTATTTAATCCGACCCCTTCTCGCTTTTAAAAAAAAAAAATGTGTTTGTTTTACATCTTAATATATGTTAACATACAATATAAATGTATACTTTAACCTTGAATAATTTATATAATCATTCATATAATATAAACAGGCAAGTTAGGAGAATGGTCTCTATATGTATATATATATATATATATATATATATATATATATATATATATACACATATGTACATACACAAATTCATACAAACACAAATTCATAAATAGAATACAAAACAAGAATATAAACAGTTATGGTTTAGCAGTTTCCTCCCTGTACTGTACCTTGTGAGAATTGTGGCTTTATACCTCTTTTTGAATAGTTTGATGTTTGGACATCCCTTTAGCTCCTCACTCAAATTGATCTTGATTGTCAAGGAACAATAGAGTGCTGCATAGGGCATAGATTGATTTGACTGATATTGCAATGGAGATCATTCATGATATTGGAGGGATTGATCATTTTGGAATCAATAATATTCATTATATATATGAAATGATTATGGTGGGATTTTTTATTTTTTTTTAAAGGATCTGTACCAGACAAACATATGTTGTCGAGTAGAAAACGACTTGTAGGCCGGGATATAGCTGCAGATCCACAATAGTGCAATCAAAATGATATTTGAACACATATTTAAGCCTTTAACAAATATTGTGCATCAAGCTATTTCAGTATTGCTCTTTTCCATATTGCGATTTGGTTCAGATATTAAAAAAAAGGTGCAATCCTAGTGCTGCATTTGGTCAAAAATAAACAGTTTTAGTGGTGCTTAAGTAAAGAAATATAAGGAGGTCTTCAGGGAAAGGGTATGGAAACACAATCATTCGGGGACCATGTTTTAAGTCTGAAAAGCATCCGTTATTTCATTTGGATTGCAGTTGCTTGCGAGGCTAGTATCAGAGTGGGACAGATCAAAGGGTTCCTTAATCTTTAACAACTATAATTAAATGCAAGGATTTTGTTAATGTTATTAAGTTTGCTACAACTGAGAGGTTCCTTCCCAGCTCCCTCTCAGGTCTGTTTGTATCATGAAAGGCAATACCCAAGCTTGTTCTAATAAACCTGGTATTGATCATAACCATGATTTACTGTATGTATGAAAGGTTTACACATCAAAGTAAGAAACCTCAGGTCTCAGCTTTGAGATGAAATGCTTTATGGAGTGTTGAGTGTCCAGTAAACTCCCTTTTATTCTTGGCATTGCTGAAAAGCTTCTGAGAGCAGAGACTGTCCATTAAAACCCGGACGACATTGATCAACAGCACAATATGTACTTTATTAAACCTTCATCCAATTCATCATGTGGGAACTGGATTACACTGACTGGCTGACATCCCATTTTTAATAAGCGTGCGAGTATTGATAGACGGATATACACCGGCACTGAGGAGGAGCATTAAATACAGTACACTAGCAAAACACTGAATCAATAGTGGCATAATGACACTGCGGAAGGTTATACATCATTTTTGTTTTAATTCATATCAGCATAAAATAAAAAGGGGCAGGAAAGGGAAAGGTTAGAAGATAGAATGTTATGGAGATAGTGAATTAATTTTAAGACAAAAGGGAGAGGGAGGAATTGAACGGGAATGATGGGCAGATGGACAGGAAAAAGATGAATAAAGCTCTCCAGCACGCTCCAGGGCAAAGCAATAAACGGGCCGCAGTTAAAAACCAATAGCTGCTTATTAACTTCCCCACTCTCCTGGCTTGTAAAGAGCCAGCAGAACAATGTTTGTATTGGCACCCTTCCCCTCCCTCGCCCTATCTCTCCTCCCAAACCTAAAGGGGGACATACAATCAGAGTGGAAAGCTGGGCGGGGGCCAAATTGGAGAAATACAGGGGCATTGCACCAGCCGGCAGCCATGTTGGTTCAGGGCAGGCACATTTGAACGGCTGCCATTTTTTAGGAGGGCATTAAGGGAAGCGGACTGTGGTTAATGTGATAAATCTGTCCCTGTGCGCCGCTGACGAGAGTGAAGGATGGAGATTCAGGTTTTTCTCACAGGGTGACACGCAGGAAGGAATCAGCAGCAGACATTATCTCCTGCTGCTGCTCCGCCTCTTCACATCTCTCTCCATCTCTCTCCAGCTGTCTGTGCTGAAGCTTTATCAGCCGCCCGACAGTGCACCTTTCCCAAACGTATGCATACGTGATGTAACGCATGCATAAAGTGTATATTCAATAACACACATTCGTCTCATACTTCAGTGATACAGTTAAGTTGTCAAAATGTGTACAGGCCAGAAGAGGAGCTGGATTATGCTTTGCTAATGGTTCTTAAATGATTTAAAGAAACTGCCTACTTTTTTCTTTTTAAATATGGTCCTGCCACTGCTAAAAGTGTCTCTGTTATTAAAACACATTTAGACATTTCATTTCAGTGTCAAGTAAACAAAGTTGTCTTGTGATGAGTGACACACAAGAATATTGAAGTTGATAAAAGTTAAAACGCGATTATGACGTCTATGTAAACTCATTTGGAGGTCAGGGCAGGGGAGGGTATAACGTTTGAATTATAAGATTCCTTATTGATTCAAAACTTCCAAACATCCATTTTTAAAACGTTTGTTTCTACACAGAACATTGGTAATTCTGCTGATGTTCAGTCACCCTTCACACCAAAGCATTGACATTGTGGTGTGGTTTGTTAAAACAATCCTAGAGAATACCACTTTTAGAGTTCTATTTTGTGCAAAATTAGCATTTTAGATAATATTTTCCGTAATAAAAAGTAGAATGAATCCATGTGACATGGAGTGTTTTCAATGAAGCAAAGAAAACAGCTTTCACTGAAGTTGTTTCTAATGACCTGCTAATGAAGCTCTGGGGGGGGTCGGAGACTAAGTGTGTGTGTCTGTGTGTGTTGCCTGGAGAGCTGTGTGTTCATCTCTCCAACTCTAATAGCACTAGTGAGGTCTAAATATGCACACACACACACACACA